ACACACACACAAAATCACATGCAAAATTTTTATACTTAATTTGTGTGAGTAAATTGTAAGGCAATTAAACTCTTGATTTGTAATTTTGTATCCTAGTTGTAATTTTTAAAATTTATGACAATTGACAACTTTAAGTGATTAATTTAACTTGAATTAATTTTATTATCATGTTTGCTAAATGTAGACTACAATATAGAAATAGTGATTATGATTTATGTTATGAATTACTTGTAGTAATATATCGTAATTTTTTATTAGATAAATACATATTTTATAAATATTTTAAAAGTAAAAAGTGGAGGAGTAAAACTGAAAATTAATTTATTTTCAGACAATAACTCTGTGTAGTTATTAAAAATTTTGGTTCAATTCAGTATTAGTGGGTAACAGTGTGAGAATTAAAAATTCAGCATTCAACAACACTCAATAATAAATCTCCGCCTTGCATGTATTCCATCAAGTCATTCAACTAAAGTTAACTTGACTGCTGCCTTCGCCAAATACCCCGTAGGATGCAATTCAAATAGTGCAAATACCAATCAAGTTTAAGCAATGCTTGAACTTGAGCACTAGTACCGGCTTAGTCAACATAGCTATTGGGTTCTTCGTTGTAACAACTTTTTTCACTTTGACAATACCTTGAGCCATAAACCTCACAAAAAAGTGATATCTAGCGTCAATATGCTTGGTCGTTTCATGTTATATTTGATTTTTGTCAAAAGGAATAATAGACTTACATCACGATATCTTTTCCTTCCTTATTCTTATTTTGGTTTTTGTATCATGGATCTTGGTTCGCGCTTTATGGCATTTCCACTATCAAAAAATCCAATCCCGCAAAGGATTTCTCATGGAACTACTATCGAGATTCTTCGGACCATATTTCCTAGTATCATCCCAATGTTCATTATCATGCTTTGACTATCACAAAACACAATAATAACCTCCTATTTTAAGTCCAAGTCACTGAACAAACCTCTCAACTTAATTGCTTCTTTAACTCCCTTTGATACTATCATGTATTATGTCTCTGCATAGACAAAATAACTGTAGATTATAGGATCGCCCCTCAACTTATAGTGCACTCAAAAAGAATAAAAACATAATTTGTTAGAGATCTACTCCTATCTAGATCACTTGCATAATCAAAATCAATATGACCAATAACTGTAGAATCAAAACCATCTATTCTACCAAGTACATGTTAGTATTACTTCTCAATTTAAATTTTCATTTAATTTCATTTGTGAAATGTGATTTCATGTTTGATTCTGTGAAGCTTAATTATTTTTTATTTAGGGTATATATATATTCATACACATTTGCAACAAGAAGAAAAAATGAAGCATTGTAAATTATGTGTTTATTATTTATAATTGTACATATAAATTATTCTTAGGTGGTATACCCAATAGATTTTTTTGATCTAGTTTGTGTCCATTTAAAGAGAAGTTTATATTATTGTCCATACTATAGTAGTTAGCAACACAAGTTGTTGCTCTTCATGTTAATCTAACAGAGGTTGTTTTGACAAAAGTTAGAATAGACTTACAGATGTAATCATCTTATTTATCAATCTATATCAAAAAAGTTATTTTGTGTAAGGTGTATGAGAGAAGATAGTAAATGAAACCCTAGTTATGAGAAGATAGAAGGTGTGTATAGCATGTGGTGAACTGAGATAAAATGTGGTTGGTATAGAAAGGGTGGACTCAATAATTTGAAAATAAAAATTTTAATATGGTGTGAATGGATATTTGTGGGTGAAAATAGCCCCACCCTTCCTGTTTACCATGTTAATATTTGCTCATTAGCACTTTTTCATTCACACTCACTCTCCAACACAAATACAACTATTTACCCACTTCATTCTTTCCTAAACAAAAAAAGCCCATAAGTCCACTTTTTACTCCCATGTAGTTTCGGTTAGAAACACCTTATTTATTTGACGTTTAAATTTATGCACATTATCTTCTTATAGTTATGTATCAAAATGAAATAATTGACGCCATTAACAGAATTAAAAAAATTGTCATAATACCCACGTTTTAAAATCAGACTTTTCCTCTAATTTACTCTTGACCGTAAAACAAATGGATCATGATAATAAGCCAACAGTTTAATTAAATATGTCGACTCTCTTTTTCCCTCAAGCGAGGTTTTGATCTAAGGCCGAAAATCACTTATTTATTTTTTTTTACATTTTTTTTATTTAGGACTGATGCCCTACCTATTTAGATATTATAAATAATATTTTAGGTACTTAGATAATTTTCTGTCGGAGGAAAACAATGTCCACAACATGTTTTGGGCATATAGAACACACTCTTCGTTAACTTGGATGATAAAAGAAGTCATTTTATTTTGGTACATAACTACAAGGGGTAATGTTGTACATAATTTTAACGTCAAGTAGATAAAGTGCTTCTAACCGAAACCACATGGAGATAAAAAGTAATTAATCCTTGTTTTTATTGGAAAATAAATCTAATATAATCAAATTTTCAAGTACATCATCAATTGGACTATTTAGAATCCAATTAAAAATTTTGGTAATTGAGTGACATTTTTAAAATATATATTTTTATGATAGAAACGATCAAAATTTTTTAAGTAGAAAGGAGTACATTATTTTGAACGAGAAATAATAAAAAATCAGAACAATCCTCTCTCCAAATACAAGGACTCGTGCAATTTTTCACAAACTTAGCTAAATAAGAAGCCACCGAATTCCCATCTCTTTGAATCCATGAAACTGAGTAATCAACAAATCCATCAATATAACTGTTAATTTGGTCAAGACATTTACTCCTCTCTGATAAATCCGAAGTTCCCTGTTTCAAAGCATCTGTAACTAGCTTCGAATCACCTTCAAGAACAGTTTTTCCATTACCTGAGTTTGCTGCTAATTTAATGGATGTTGTCGCTGCCACTGCCTCCACACGATCAAGTTTAAGAAGTCTTTGGATCCTTTGGGAATAACCCTGAACAAAGGAACAATCCCAATACCTAACAACAACACCAATACCAGAAAAACCATCAGACTCAAACACAAACTCAGCAAAATTTAATTTAATAACACCAATTGAAGGGCAGCCCACTTAGCAACCACTGAATCTGTATTGTAATTCAGCCAGTTCTTTTAGATTATATGAGCTTTTTTTTCTTCCTATTATCTATCCTGGTTTGTACTTGGTGAAGGTTTACAAGTTTAAACTCTCTAACATATTGTCAATGGACCTAAATTATGTTTCTCCAAGTTTTATAGTGCCATGAGAAGGATTTGATTTTCTCAGTCAGTTGAAACCAACAATAACATTAATGGCTAATGAAGAAAATTTTGTCGTACCACCAGCGCGATGAAATGTGTTGAGTTGCAAGCAAGATGCACAATCTGCCATTAAAGCTAGAATTGAAGAACTATAGGAGCATGCATATCTTTGGCTAGCCAACCCAAATGTGAAAAAATAGAGAGGTCTCAGATTTTCAGGAAAGCCAAAGAGCGAGCAAAGCCATATGCAGCCTTGACCGGTAATTCTATGGAACTAAAATTGGTTCCGTTAGGAACAAAGCCACAGTCAAGTGTATGGTTACGACTTCATTTGACTCTCGAATTTAAGTTAGTCTGACAAAAGTAAATCTATTCATAAATCAGCTAAGACATTGATAGAAGTAAATAAGTAAAGAGCACACTTCAACCATGTATGCAACCAAAGGGCACATACGCTTTTGCATAATGTTGACGAGCACACCAAGTGCCACATCACAAAGAGATTCAATCTCAATAACAAGACCGAAGAGAATGGAGATTCAAAATACAGGACTACCTATGTTTAAGTCAGAATTTCACAAAAGAGAAAGAGGAAAATAAAGAATATTCACCATCTAAAATTGTGGGCAACACCTGCTAAAAAAACTTTATTTATGAATTGGCTGCCTATGACCTGTGCAGCTACTTCTAACTACAGAGAGCTATAATGGAATTGCAACAACAAAATAGAATCCATGAAGCATAACCATTGAGCTCATATGAAAAATCCACCACCTCAAAAAATAAAATTATCTCACAAGAAGAAAAACTGAACCACCATTTGAACAAAAACACTTGCTTTAAATCTATTTACAGAGTTATTATCCCTACTGTGTACATAGTACATAACTATAATCATAAATTCTAATATCCACAGTCAATCAGATTTTGAACACCCCTTGTGTTAGGGATCATGGGAATCTCACTTCCTTGTAAAGGCTCTTCGCGATTATCTTTTCAGCTTCTAAGCAAAATATTGTACCCCTCCCAAAGGTCCCATTGATGTGGCCAATGAGTAAATGTACATTCTAAAAAGTATACTAACTGTCCCTAACATAAAAACAAGGCAGCGATCATCATAAATCCTAATATCCACAGTTAGTTAGATTCTAGACACTCGATGGGTTCGATATCATGGAAATCACACTCTCTTGTAAACCCTGTACCTGATCACCATTCGGCAACTCTTCCTGATCAACATTCAGCAGCTCAGCTAGGGAGATACTGTCCCAATTTGTGTTATCCGGCATAAATAGGTCAGCGTAATCCCATGTTTCCAGAGTAGGCAAGCATCATTCTCCTGATATTGGAGACTCTGCTGCACAAGGCATGACATTACTTTGTATTTGACATTCAAATCCGGTTCTTCCACTACAATATAAAGCACCAACACTTGATTGGGGTGCCACTGATGCATCTGTGATGGATCCACATTGCGCAACTAGTGTTGTCACCATGTTATTATTACAGCTCATTTCCTCATACTGATATCCTTCAAGTTGGGCCACCGAAAGGCTCGGCTCATTGTTGATTGCCTGCTGGGGAATAGCTTCACTATCATCTTCTGCTAAGGCAGCCATGATACTATTTGACACTTGAAATTCTGCAGACCTGCCTTGTCCAGAATATAATGCACCAAATTCAGGGTCACTGCCATGCTCATTTGTTGTTGATGTGAATATCCTTCAAACTAGGCAACAGGGACACCCAATGCAATCTGCTCGTATGGTAGCGATGGAGCAGCTTCGTAATGATAATGATCTTCCGCTAACATGGCAAACAATTCACCCTCTATTAGTTCTTGAAAGTTGTCCTGCGACTGTAAGTGATTGGTTTCTGGTGGTTTCTTCTTATTGATGCCGTAAAGAACATAGTCTTTGAACAAAACTCTTCTACTGTTCAATGTAGAGTCGGGAAGGCTATACTTAATCATGTTGTATCCGAGTTTGGCCCTGGTCTTTGTGATCTTGTAAACAAAGTTTCTCTTCCATCCAATTATAGTATTCTTCTTATGTGGATCCAATACAGGATTTGCCTTATCAAAACCCCTCCACGTATACTTCCCGATTGCCACCGTGCGTTTAATCCGCTAGCTGCTCATCTTCTTCAACTTTGTAAACACATAAACAACTCTCTCTTCAAAACCTGTTTGAAATAGACTCAACGGCTCAATGTCACCATATACATCATACTCGTTCACTACACTTTGACATGGCAATCAACGTCCCAATACCTTCAAGCAAAGATAAAGCATCAAGTATTTCCCCAAAGGGTGGAAATGGTAACCGATCCACATATTTTCCATCCCTAGATTTACTATGAACTAAGGCCACAACACAAACAAAATAAATTGAAACGGAATAGAAAAACAAAACACACAAACTTAGATGGTTCGGCTTAACAAGAAAGTCCATGTTCACGAAATATAGTGGTAAGATTTCACAAAGTTGTTATCCAATGGAGACACTTAGTCCATCTATCTATAATTCATGAACTATAGAATTTGATTCCAACATAAATACCTAGTGTCAATCAACTTCATCCATAAAGATTCTCCATACCACCAAAGGAACAGGACATTCCAAAAAGATATGAGAAGAAGATTTAGTTGCAGCCTCACAAAGTAAACATGCAGATCGAGTATCAACAGGAAGTGGCCTTTGAGGAAGATTGCAATGGGTAGGCACAACATCTTTAAATAATCTCCAAACAAAAATTTTAATTTTATTGGGGCTTCTCAGATACCAAATGAAATTGTCACACCATCTCTTATTGCTATTACTAGGTGCCATGAAGACCACGATCATAACCAAATGGTAAGCACTCTTGACTGAGAAATGGGCAGAATTAGTATAGTGCCAAACCAATTGATCATGTGAAAATTGATCACAGATAGGAATATCCATAATTTGCTCCACATTGCAACCATGTTCAAAATCAATTAAGGAACACACACGGAGACATTTCACCCATATGTGCTGTGGCTAAATAATTTAGCTATGACATTTCAAAATTGCCACTTAAAGTAAAATTTTAGCCACAATACAAAAAATATCACTAAATACGAAATATTTAGCTACAATTATTATTGTAGCAATTTAAGGTAATTTTATATATCACGTCACCACTAAAAGAACGATAAATTTGTTGGGGAAGAAAAAGGATAAATTTTGTATTTAACCAAAATATTTGTATGACATAAGCACTTTTCAGATTGTCAACCACGGTCAGTCACAACAGCGCCTGCATGAAGTTGACAAATAAACTAAAAAGGATTGCAGTAAAATTTCAGAAAAGACAGTAGATGTTGTTAAAGTTAAACCTATCCATAGGAGATATGGATGAAATTTACCATAAAATTAAAATATATTTAGTATATTATATTCGACACATGAATATTTATTGACAAAAAAATCCAAAAGGCAATAACACACAAATAAAAAAGATCAAAAAAATTACTAATTACTAATTACAATTCTTTAAAAATGTGAGACAAATCATGTTTTTGCAACTGACTATATAAGTTTTTATATTTGAAAGTATTCTACGATAAATTTATTTTCTAGGTTATCAAAAGTACCTTTTTGTACAATCAAATTCTCAATCATCCATTCGTTTACAACTTTATTTTTCACAATACGATTAAAACTCAGTTCAAACAAAATAATTATTGGGCAAAGAAAAATAGAAACAAACAGTCATACAAAAATAATAGTAGTAAATTTTAATTTGATATTAAGAACATAGAACAAAAAAATTTGTAAATATGCAAATCAAAACAAATTGAAAAGAGTTTTAATACAATAAAAATGATCACATGTATATTGACCTATCGTAAAATTATTTTAATAGAAAAATACAATCAAAGTACGTACATAATAAGTTTGGCACAATATAATAGATGTTCATAATGTTTCACAAATGTATATACACTCTCACACATACATATACTAAGAAAAACTGAAAATAATGTGGCTGGACTTGGGCCTCCTGGCCCTTAAGTAGATAAGACAGTGGCCATAGAATTGGTAAATACAATTATGGAACGCTTTGATATGGCTTCAATCTTTTGTCGTCTTCAACTTCTTCTTCCATGTAATATTTTGAGAGTATCGTACGAAACAATTTTGTGCCACCACTAATAATGCTTCTCACTACCCTATGAGTCAATGACCAATACCACAATTTTGAATAACAGTTATTCGAAAATTGATCGTAGAAATAAGTTATTCTCAAGAAATTTTGTTGGAGAACTAGCTATTCTTGTACAATGAAAAATGCTTGATAATAGAATCTCAACACCAAATTCGAGGCTTCACCACTCTATTGAACCTTAGCAAATAGACAAAAGGGTCAGAGTGGCTCCATTAAAGCTTGAAGACTTAAATATGACAAATTTGGTTATAAAATTCGGCGTGCAATATGAGACTTTTAATCCATCTTTAATCTTTAAGGGATAAATTACAGATTCTAAAATCTTAGGCTTATTCAATAAGTCTTGCATAAGGGTAAGAAACTTTGGATGAATAATGTGAATGGGTGTAAGTCTCGCCATTCACCACTTGGAAAGACCCAATGCTGACTTGACCACACTGAGAGACACAAAAGTGCAGGTAACACCAATTCGATTCAACTTACGTTATCCATGCTTAAAAGGAACAATACAAAAGGATTTAGAACCCCTTGATTTGAGATTTTTTTATGAGAATTTTAATGTGAGAAGAATTTGGATTTACAAAGAAAATGGGTAAAGAAGAAAATACCTATTCACTAGAAAAATTAGAACTCAATGAATTGACATTATTATGAGGCATTCACTCTTCAAAATATAGCTTCAGGAGAATCTGAGCCTTAAGCAAAAAGAAACAGCAAGCGTTACACCATCATATCTGAACCACAACGGGATTAACTCAAGTTTTACAACTACGACAAATTTGTTTACAGATTTGTCATTGTAGCACTTCAAGGTTTCTAGCTTTTGTTACTTGTTTTTACCCAAAGCATGGGATACTCTTGTCATATACATCAAGGATTATACACATCAATGAAATTAGATCTACTTGCTGGAGAAAAAATGTTTGCATTGCTGTTTTTTTCACTAAACCCAAAGTAGACCAGCCGCGAATTCCTAGGAATTCGTAAAATATATCATCACAGGTTTACGGAGATGTTTGGAGTGTATCTAATTCTATCATAGACTGGTGGTAGTTTATCTAATTCTGAACTTAAATCTCTTTTGTGTTAAACAAAATATCAAGTAAACCAATGGCATCTTTGAACTAGATTTATTGGTATTACACAATGTTCAAAAAAACAGTCAATTCAATTTCAACAGTTGTATGTATATCAATCAAAATAGTAAACTACTATTTTCATGGAGAATACTGTGTATTTATACTTGGAACACGTTAATGTGTACTTTAAAACAACTTGTACCACTTCCAATCCACATGATTTGTACAGATAAGTGGCAAATCTGTGAACAGAATCCCTGCAACTGAGAAGTGGTTGCTTCTAAAAATGCATTTGTCTTGTTTTTAATCCATTGCTTGAGCACGTTAATGTGCGGTGGCCACCAAGTTGCTCAGACTGAAAGAAGGCCTCGAGTCAATTCACAGAACCTCTATTTATCTAACAGATCCAAGGCAGACATGAGTCCTCCTATACTCACTTCTGCTTCAGCTAAAAGATCGTGCTTAAATGAGAAACAAAATCAAAGAAAGAAACACGTTTAGACCCCTGCTTTGGCTAATTATTTTAACAAAGTGAAACTTGCAAGATAGGAAAATCATATCAGACTCCAAAAAAGGCCTTAACGGAAATACATGCATTCATCCAGCTATTAGGGAAGGGACTACCCTGCTTTGTCATGCCCTCATGATTCAATTGAACAAATATAAAGGGATGTCCAAGTTTGCGAAAGTTTAGATTCTAAGACAGGACTAGCCCCATTGAGATACTTAGAATGAGAGACTAACTTCAAGAATTACGTACCTAGCATGCGAACTATAAAGTAACATGGATGGCAGAACTTTCTAAGACTCTTAAGAAAAATTACTTGGTCCCCTTTATAATGTTGGGGCCTAGAACATCAAGTCCTCATGTCTCAAAATATTTTTATGTTTCTTTTTCTATCAGACTTTACCAAAGTAAATGTATCAGAGCTTACTCAATGATCAAGGATCAGAGAAACAACTGGCAGTACGCACGACAATGTCTTATACTTAGGTTTTACTGAAATTGAACAACATACAGAGGAGCATACTTTAACTAACCACTCAAACTACGGGCGGATAAAAACAAAAACCCAAGAAAAAAACCAGAAAGAAATCCCTTCTTATGGGCAAAGCTATATGAATCTTTCCAAAATCCCTGCCCACGAAGGTTCAGTAATGCTTGTACCTGAATATACAACAAGAGAATTATAATATGACTGAAACTCACGAAGAATTATAGAACAAATATTGCACACATAAAGAAGTTGCTAATGGAGGCAATCAAAAGCGCGTGCAAGCAGATGGCCACCACTTCATGTGACTCTCAGTTTTAAGTCAGTCTAATACAAGTAAACCTGATTATAAATCAATCAATACATTGATAGAAGTTGATAAGTAAAGTAGTAAACGACACACTTCAACTAAAACCATATATATGTATGACCAAAGGGTACATTCTGTTTTTGCATGATATTCCACCAAAAAGACCAGAACACAAAACATAGGCAAGAAGATGGGATCTAACAAACCAAAGCATAATATAGAAGGCAAGAAGCCGCAAGGATTTTAAAAGCTAAAAGATTTTGAATGTTACAACTTAAATGCTGCTAAATGTGACCAATTGAAAATTATGCACATAAGAATTTGCTAATGGAGGCAATGAAAAGCACACACAAGCGAATGGCGATCACTTCATATGACTCTCAAATTTAAGTCAATTCAACAATTGTAAACTTCTTCATAAATCATCTAAGAAAATTCTAATAAAACCCTATGTGCACAACCAATGGGCAAGTATACTTTTTTGGATACTAGTCCACCAGAAAGACCAATTAAGTTGAAGTTAGAATTGCACAAAGCTGAAATCGTACAAAGAATATTTACTATCCAAAATTGCAGGCAACACTTGCTGAAATCCTTTAGGAATTGGTTGGCAGCCAATGAGTAACAAACTACATGGAGCCAAACTAAATAGTACATGCTTCAAATCAATGTCTAGTAATTGTCCCTACTGTATACCAAAGACAAATATTCACAGTTACCAGTAATCTAACTCTAGTAATCATAAATCCTAATATCCACAGTTAGTCAAATTCTGGACACCAGATGGGTTTGGCAGTATCATGGAAATCACACTCTCTTGTAAAGCCTCTTCCGGATCGCCAATCGGCAGCTCTTCCTGATCACCATGTAACAGTTCAACAAGGAATTCCCTAGCGATACCGTCCCAATTTGTATTATTCGGCAAAAATAGATCAGTGTAATCCCATGTTTCCAGAGCAGGCAAGCATCATTCTTCTGATATTGGAGACTCTACTGCACAAGGCATGATATTACTTTGTGTTTGACATTCAAATCCGGTTCTTCCACCATAATATAAAGCACCAGCACCTGATTCGGGTGCTACTGATGCATTTTTTATTGATCCATATTGTGCAACTGGTGTTGTCCCCATGTTATTATGACAGCTCATGTATTCCTCATATTAATATCCTTCAAGTTGGGCCACCGAAAGGCTCGCCTCATTGTTGATAGCCTGTTGGGGAATAGCTTCACTATCATCTTCTGCTAAGGCAGTCATGATACTATTTGGCACTTGAAATTCTACAGACCCGTCTCGTCCAAAATATAATGCACCAAATTCAGGGGTCACTGCCATGCTCATGTGTTGTTGATATGGATATCCTTCAAACTGGGCAACAGGGACACCCAATGCAATATGCTCGTATGGTAGCAACGGAGCAGCTTCATAATGATAATGATCTTCCGCTAACATGGAAAACAAGTCACCCTCTATTAGTTCTTGAAAGTTGTCCTGTGACTGTGAGTGATTCGTTTGTGGTGGTTTCTTCTTCTTGATGCAGCAAAGAACATAGTCTTTGAACAAAACTCTTCCACTGTTCAATGTAAAGTCGGGAAGGCTATACTCAGTCATGTTGTATCTGAGTTTGGCTCTGGTTTTTGTGATCTCGTAAACAAAGTTTCTCTTCCATCCGATTATAGTATTCTTCTTCTATGGATCCAATACAGGACTCGCCTTATCAGAACCCCTCCACGTACACTTCCCGGTTGCCACCGTGCGTTTAATCCGCTGGCTGCTCATCCTTTTCAACTTTGTAAACACATAAACAACTCTCTTTTGATCCTGTTTGAAATAGACTCATCGACTCAATGTCACCACATACGTCACACTCGTTCATGACACTTTGACATGGCAATCGACGTCCCAATACCTTCAAGGAAAGATAAAGCATCAAATCTTTCTCCGAAGGGTGGAAACGGTAACCGATCCACATATTTTTCATCCCTAGATTTACTATGAACTAAGGCCACAACACAAACAAAATAAATCGAAACGGAATAAAAAAACAAAACACACAAATTTAGATGGTTCGACTTAACAAGAAAGTCTATGTTTACGAAATATAGTGGTAAGATTTCACAAAGTTGTTACCCAATGGAGACACTTAGTCCATCTATCTATAATTCATGAACTATGGAATTTTATTCCAACATAAATACCTAGTGTCAAACAACTTCATCCCATACCGTCAAAGTAACAGGACATTCCAAGAAGATTCAGTTGGAACCTCACAAAGTAAACATGCATCTCGAGTATCAACAAGAAATGGCCTTCGAGGAAGATTACAGTGACTATCACCGACTTAATGTTAAGACTCCTTGTCTTTATCTGAGAGGAATTTGAAAAACGTAACACTAATTATGCATTTTAGATTTAATTAATGCAACTAAAAGAAGTGCCAACAGAATACTATCTATATCTTTATTAATGTCATCTAAATAATAAAGTAATTAGATAATTTGTCTTTAATGTTTGTGACTCAGATCGTTTGAGGATTATTATTCCGACGATCCTAATTGGATGTTGATATCTTATACAACTCTAAAGACTCCCATCTCTCGGATAACTCTCTCTTCCTCTTTATCTTATACATCCAACTCTCATACGTATGTAACTCTTTCTCTCTTAGACATTTTAAACACTCTTTCATTTCTCATATAATTCTCTCTCTATCTCATATCTGTGTTAAACACGTACTCTCCCATCTTGTATACTCTCTCTCTCTTAACATTGTTTGTCTTGACGATCCTAAATGGACTTCTTTACTCAAAAATATTCAAAGTCAAAATAATCATCAATAAAAAAAATAACAAGTGATACCAATTGCATGAAAAAAATAAAAAAAATCAGAGCTAAGCTAATCACTAATAAAAAAATAATAAGTGATACCAATTGTACTAAAAAACTCAAAGTCAAGCTAATTACTAACAAAAAAAAAAGTGAATCTAATTGCAAAAAAAAAAAAAACAATATTCAAAACCAACTATAATATTTGTTTCCTTATTTGCATCACTTTCCCCATGTTAATGTTCATATTTTTTTGAATGCTTGAATAGTGCAAAATAGACACTGAAACGACAAAAGGTCAGTTAAATCAATTTTTTTTTGAAGTAGTGCAATTTTGATTTTGTTGATTTGGTTTAATTGTTACGTGAGAATATTTCTATAGAATTTCAAAAGTCATAACGACAGAGAATTTAAATCAATTGTCCTTACAGCTATAAATAGATCTGTTAGGTAATGTAGTTTGGTTGAGTTTTTTTTTTAATTTTTTGAAAATTTGATTTGTAATTCAATGTGGTTAATTCGTTTGATTGGATTGGTGATTTAATTGTATGTTCTTAATGATATTTCTTATTAAAACTAGATAGCCTATTCATTAGATTTAGTCAGAGGTTGAAAAAATGAATACTCCTTTGGTGGAAAGAAGAGCTGTCATGAAGAAATTTATGACATTATAATTTTGTAACGATGTTAGTTTAAGTTTATGGAGATTCACGGACTGTATTAATGTGATATAATTCTTCTTCATTTCAACCCATGAACTTCTTTTATTTAAGACATTATTGGATGTCCCATTAACTTGACAAATTTTTTGTGTTAAAAGTACCTTCAAGCACGAGTAATGACTGGTTTTAGTATATGAGTGAACATAAAAACAAAAAAATTAAAAATTGATGGCAACCATATGGCTGGGGATATTGAAACCATGAGACCTATTAATGAGAAAGTCAACTGAATTATATAACTACTTATATCAAGTCCCTTTAAAGAATAACATATCTAGGTGATGGACTTACTCTTATGCGGTTGCACACTGTGCAACAATTATTTAGTTATTAGCGGTACACCATGTGCGTTGTACGTGAATAGTTTTTATATACAAAAATTAATAAAACATATTAGGTATATGTGTACTTAAATTAAATATCATCTCAAATTTACCAAATTTAATTTTTCATTGCTCGTATTATATTATAAGATTATGAAAACTTTATATGATCCCAAATTTTTTTATTCTAACTATATACAAGAGATAAAAAGAATAGTTTTTTTTGTGATTGTGATTTATTTTTTAGTTATATTTGAGAAATTAAATTTTTAAAAATTAATTTGATTGGGATTCTATATATAATTCCTTGAATAAAATAAAAGTAATTGTCAATATACTAATCATATTAGAACCTTACTGTAATTAGGAATTAGTTAGGTCAATTGAGATAAGACTTAACATACTCTATAATATATATTATCAAGAATATTAAAATTTTAAAAAATTCCAAGTTTTATTTAAAAATATACTACAATATCTATTTTTGTATAAAATCTTAGTATAACTTATAAAGTTTATTGTAACTGAAGAATTATATGAGTAATATTAATTAATTTTTAAAAACTATATATACGATTATTTTTTATCTTAAAAATGAAAGGATTAAATTTTTCGATGAAAAAGAAAATATAAATATGCAGGCATAATATTATCTTTGTATATGAGATGAGTAATATTACATTAATGGAGTTTTTGAACACTTTATTGAAAATATAATAATTCATATTTTTTAAGGGTAATATAGTCAATCAAATTTTTTTATAGAAATTGATATTTATACATAGAGAATAAATAATTAAAAGAAATTTTATAGATAATTTAAATATTTAAATACATAAATATATAATGGTAATTTAGATATTCAATGATCAAAATGGTAGAGTGGTCTTTACAATTTTTTATAAGGGTAAAATAGAAATTTAAAATTTTTTCATCTTAAAAAAATAAATAAATAAATAAACAAATAAAAAAATTTCGTCTTAAGGTACTTTTATTAATAGCATTATAGATATAGATTTATAGCTTCACATGCCTTAGAATTTCAAATTAAATCGTCAATGAGCATACTCATACTCATCCAAATTAAAGGCATTATTGGATTGCATATAGGCAGTTCTAAAATTTGACAAAAGTACCAAAATATTTTCTAGTTTGATCATCTTACTAAACTATCATTGACATTGCTTGTTGATCCCTACGTCCCTTATGGTATGTTTGGTAGACATGATTGAAAGATAAAAGAGTTGAAAGTATGAGTGATACACTTTCCATCATTCATGGGAATAATTTTTCATTCTCTCTTTTGTATTTTTATATGAGAGATAAAATGTAGGGATGATTTATATATAGATAGATAGATAGATAGATATAATATATTTGTACAGATGAAAAGCAAAATGATAAAAAAAAAGTGTAAATGCATACTTTACGATTGTATTTGCATATAAATTTAATTTGTACATAATATGTAATAGATAAATAGGAAATATGCATATATTAAGGATATAAAGATAAGTACATATATTTAAGCCCACATCACCGACTTTCTATTCAACTTTTTCTCCCAAATTTAAAGGAACAGATGGAAGGAAAACAAATTCTTCCACTTTTCTATCATTTTCATTTTTATTATTTACCAAACTTGATGTTTTATCTATACTTTTAATTTTTCATCATAATAAACAAAATATTAGTCGTATTCATGTAATTGTGCATAATGCAAGGTAATCATAGGTTCAGGGATCAATCAAAACTACAATTAAACCAACATATGTGTGAACAACGCAAAGTTGATTCATATTTGAGTTCCTTCAAATACGTTATTTAAAAAAGCAACTTAAGTTAAAATTAAATTTTGGAGCTCGTTTATGAACACACTGCATTGGAACAATACATTCGTCAACTCGTCAAGATTATAAACAAGTTGAGGTTGTTTGTAAATAAACAACAATACATTTTATGTTGTATATCAATGAAATGAGCGTGATCTTAAAAATAGGTATGTACTAGAGATTAAATTCTAACATAAGTCTGATTCATGTCATTTAATCAAACTAAGCAAGCTGAGTTGAGTGTAATTGATGCATAGACAAAATTAATAAGGTAAGCGAGAAAAAAATGTTTGATAGCGAACAAGAAGTTAGAAACTCAGATATGAATATGCTTTTCGATATAATCTCAAAAAATTATATTATTGACTTTGTATATCCTGATTTGAGTTATTTATTATCACTTATAATGAAAATAATAAAATAAATAAAACAATAAAATAGTAAAAATTTATAGGTGTAACTTTGTGACTGAAAAATAGGCATAATCTATCTAATATTACAACTAGGAAGTTGATTCTCATCTTATAAAAGTATAAAAATGACAAAGATTGATCTAATTTTTATCCACTTTGATCCAATAGTACAAATTTCATTCCAATTTTTTTTTTTCGGCTAAAAACATCAACTCAATCAATGTTGGAAAAAATGGTTTTAAACAATATTATTTGAGCAACTTGAGGCTTAAATAAAAGTGGGACCCACACCTCAAAATTGGTGGGAACAAGTTTAAATGCATTCCCCTCCGCGAGGAGATTAATATGGTATATTTATTTGTTCAAAACTATTAAAATTTGAATGAGAAATTATATCTTAAAGTGACTCATTTGAAGTGATGAAATAAACTAAGATTGGTGTAATGAAATAAAGCTTGTTCCACATTAGAATAAGACCAACACTTTGGTGAGTTA